TTATTCCAGGACCTGCATTTTGGTCCTATTCTCACCTCACCCTGGTAGACGCAGTACTTTTATTGCCACACTTGGGTTGCAGCGCTTGCAAACGGCAAAATTTTCAGCGACGGAGCCATCTCGCCCTGGCTGCAGAGCATGGCCAGACGCTTTGGTCCAGTCTCCAGGGCGCTCCCGTTACCACGAGCTCCTTGCCTTGCTCTCGAGCAGCGTTTTGGGGAAAGCCCTGCACGGAGGAGTCTCACTGCAGGACCGCGGGGGACACGGCGCCGTCCCCCCGAGCGGGACAGCGTGTGGGGCCTGCAAGCTGCCGCCCTCCTCGTCCCACCTTTAGTGCCGCCTGCCTTTTGGCTGGGGTTTCCGCCAGCCTTTTTGCTTTGTTGATGAACGCGAGCCCTGCACACGCCGAGCCTCCCTTCTGCCTGCTTTCACTTGTGGTTTTGTCAGCCTCCACAGCCAGCTGCGAGAAATGGCCTAAACGAGAATGTTAGGGCACGTTAAAAACATTCCTTCCAAAGGCTGTTAAAAAAAAAAAACTTGTGCCACACTCCGAGACCAGCCTGACAACACTTAGAGGGCACTTTTGCCCCTAGGGTACCGGCACAAGAAAATACCCAAGAGCTGCTTCTTGTCCATGGCCAACTCTTCCCAGAAGGTCTGTTGGCCTCCATCCCGGTCAGCAAAGCGAGTTGCCAACAGCGAGAAAGGTGGCCCTAGAGGAGGGCCAAGCAGGAGGAGGGCAGCAGGCACCTGGGTCAGCCTCTGGCAAAAGAAAAATATGCATTTACATCATTTAAAGTATATATTTTTTTTAAAGCAGCAGACAGCTCGATCTGTTTTGGTAAGGAGGTTCCCCCCAATCCAGTCTGTTTTTGGCTGAAAGGTGCAAACAATTCGCAGCGGCGTTGCGCTTTTCCACGCTGCCTCCCAAGGCAGAAAGACACATCCCAGGTGCAACAGGGCAGATCGGGTGGCTCCCGAATGACACCGAGCTGCTTGGCTTATGCTCCAAGGCAGAGGAAGGAAGAAAAACGTAGCAGCTTCCCCTGTGGATCGGGCTGCCACAGCCAGTGTGACCCACGGCGCGGAGGGCCCGTGTTCCCGCAGCGGCCGTGTCACAGCCATCGTGCGCTGGAGCACATACCTGATCGAATTGCAGATGTCTCTTCTGATGGCTATCTGGTAGCAAAGCTTTGATTAAAGCAGCAGCAAAGAGGCAGGACAGGCTTGTTCCCAGTAATAACACTAATGGAAGGAGGAAAGCCCGTTTACAGCAGCTCCTCGGGGAGCATAATGCAGGCGGACACTTGAAATGGGATTTTTTGGAGCTGAGAGGTCAGCACAAAAACGCAGCTCCTGGACACACAGAATATATGCTGCACTGGAGAGAAGGTGACAGTAATTTATAGACCTCGCAAATAAATTCATCTCCCTCGGCCCCAAACTCCCTGGTGAACATCAGGGACACTTCCCTTCCCGATGGTCGTGCATCTTTCTTACTCTTGACGTTGTTTTTAAAAGGCTGACAGATTTTATCTTCCTCCCTTTCATTATCCCCAAGATTCAGGTGGATTTACCCCGGATTTGCACGTGCTGCATCCCAACCTGAGCACGTTTTCTGATGCCTTAGAGCCCCGTGGAGCAGGGCAGGACCTTCAGCACCGCTCTCGCTCAGTCCATCCCGACTAGCGGGCTCTGAACTGGACCCGTTAAGGTTTGTTGTTGTTCTCTGGCCTGCAGCCACTTCATCATGACAGCCTGAACCACATCCACTGCGTGTTACCACACACTCCTTGCTGAAAACACACGTGCATCCAATGGAGCTGAGGAACCAAAGTTAATCTTGAAGAACTTTGGATAATTACTTTCCTTTTCCTTGGCTGGCCGTTCCACTCTATCCAAATGCCCATTACGCTTCATTTTGGGAACTTCTTCAGGCTCCTTTCTGAAAAGCTTCCCCTGTTATTGCCCCCAGAGCGCTGGCAAAGCCCAGCACGACTCCCCAGGGACGTGTCCATCCACTGCAACCACCCAGGACTTCTTTTTGGTGGAAGCCACCACCGTCTTGCTCATTTTTCCTCCCGAACTGCTGTCCTTTTCCAGCGCATTTACAATAAAAGGAAGCCAGTTGCTTCACAGTCTGGCTTTGAACTTGGTTGTTGAGCTTGGCCGTGCTCCTTTCAGGAACCGGGCAGGAGGCAGCCTCCACTCACCGCAGGCAACGCATCGGGCCAGCGCCAAGCGTTTGCGGGAGCATCCCCAAGGAAAGTCCTCCAAGTCCCTCCGTTTGTCCCAGGTGTCCCCGGAGCTCCCTGCACCAGGCAGCCTCTGCCCGGCCTCACACGGGGAGTTGCGCCGATCACCGACCGCCCCGGCTGGAATCGGACCCGCTTCCAGCTGCGATAAAGCTTCGGATTTGCAGCTTGTTTCCAGATCGTTCCAGCAGAAAGCTCTCCAAAAGGTAAAACATGTAATGCCTGTAATGCTGGAGAGGAGAAAAGCATGAAATAACTCAATATCCTTAAAACGTGGACTGCTCCCAAAGTATTTGAGACACTTAACCAGAGGTTTTTTGAATGGAGCATGTTAAGCTGAACAAGTATGTCTTTGCACTCGGCTAGCTTGAATGGTGCCATTTCACCCTAGCAAAGAAAGAGCATTAAAATTCTTTATATTAATCCCAATACATTCGCTGTAGCTGCAGAAACGAAGGGTGGTAATTCCCAAGTCCCACTGCTGGCCTTTCTTCTCCCAGCTGCAAGGCGGGAGGCTGCCTCCCAGGCGGTGGTTTATTCCATGAGAATGAGGGAGACGCCTCCGGCCCCAGGGCACCGCGCCGGCCCCGCCACCATCCTCCCCGATGGCCTTCAGACAGGCCACGGGATATTCCTCTTTCCCCAGTACTTACAGAGCCCTCCATATTTGGACCATCCGGATTGGCCTTAGAATTCTTCCTCAAAAATCATCCGTTAAAAGAAAAAAAGACATTAAAAAAAAAGAAGAGAAAAGCAGGTTTATGATAATTTGTGTAGGTCGGTCCATCGCGGCGCTGTTTCGGGTGAAGCAAGTGTGCAGTTAAATGTCAAGTGGAAGGTAAATGACGAACAATTGAGTAGGGCGCGAGGAGTTACGGAATTGGAGATGTGCGGAGAACAGAGGCCGCCAGATAAAAAGGCAGATTACACTTCATTTTGCCCTTGCTGTGGATGAAGACCTGAGCGTTTCAGAGTCCTTTCAAAGGGAAAAACCGGGGAGGAGGGGAAGCAAGCGGGAACCACTCCTGGCTATCAAGAACATTTGATTTAAAGTGCTCTGAAAAATGATTTGTTCTAGAACAAAAGCAAAAATCAAAACAATTCATTCCAGAAGTATTACAACATGACAAGCTGAAAAGGCAACTCTCTGTTTAGGTCTCAAGTGAGATTTTAGTCAATTGGAGCGAGTTGCAGAAGCTTCAGCTTTGACAGAGCTTCTTTGGGGTAGTCTCAGTGATTCTCAGTTTCTCTGCTTCGCTTTAGTGACTCATAAAGAAGCTCCACAGCTTCACAAAGAAGAAACTGCACCAAGTAAATGATGAGATTTGCTAACATGGAAGCACATTGTACTAAAATTGTCAACATGTTACCTAATCTGAACCTTCAAGCTTCCAGGCGCTGTATTAGAAAGATTAAAAAAATTTGGTAAATAGGTGAAAACAAACCCTACCAGGGTGGTAAGGTTGTATTTTGAATACCCTGAGCATTATGGCCTGGAAGTGCTAGAGAGGCCTTTGGAACATAAAGGCAACTGAAGACAATTAGGCCACTTTAAAAACAGCAAAATTAGCATTTCTTTTGCCAGATAATTCAAGCGTCGTTCTGCTACAAAGGCTATCATTTCTAATTTTAATTCAAATTTCTAATTTTAGCTTAATCCATAAAAAACAATCTGCCATTTCTCTTCTGCTTCCTTGTTAAAAATGTCTTTAAATTACATACCAAAATACTGACAACACAACCTGCAAATTAAGCCCACATTCCCACAGAGACATACGCATGCATTTACTCTGAAATACTAATCCCCACAAAGGTAACAGCATCTACAACGCAGATGAGCAGCGCCTAGGAACGCTGCTTGACCAGAGCTCAAAAGCAGGAATTCGGGTGCAAGATGCACAATAAATAAATGAATAAATAAATATTTCTGCCTTTCGACTCTTGGCATCCCCATTCCCCCTGCTACACCTGATTATTCTCCACGCTGCCAAGTTGCACAGGCAGCTCATCTCATCTTCATCAGCCAGAGGAAGCCATCAAAGGGGAGACCCTGTAAAAACTTTGCAGTTAGGCACCACATCAAGCCCAATCCATTCTCACATTCAATCGCAGAGACAGGCAGCTTCCTCAAGGCAGAAGAACCGCCCTGACACCCTATTTAATACCATTAAATAGGGGATTGGTTGTTTTATCTCACCAATTCTGAGCACTGTGAACAGCGTTCACCTCCTCTCACACCTCCTACAAAGCAGCAAGCACCTTTGCTGTCCCAGTTGCATCCAAACTCATTCACAGGCCGACTCACTTGTTTGGACTCACCCAAGCTCTTAATCATGATTAAAAAGGAGAGAAACACTTTTTTTTTTCCCCTCAACCTGAAGGGAAACCATGTTGTAAACAATTTTATCTTCATCTGATCAAGCCAAAAAACCCAAACCCACCCTCAGGCCGGTTCACAGGGCATCCCCGTGCGCACAAACGGAGCCCACAGCAGTGAAGCCATGGGGACACGTGGGAGCGAAGGCGGGAAGGTCTGGGACGTCCCGGCAGGTTTCAGCCGGGTCCGAGCACCAGCAGCTCCAGGAGGACGTGGATGAGGAGCGACCACGGCAGCAGCTGCCAAGCCCTCAGCGTCGGCAGCTCCGAGCGGGGTTCTCCGCGCGCGGGCAGGGAGCGGCGGCTGCCTCGGGCTGCCCAAGGGCGAGCGGCGCCGCGGCCGACACGACTGCACGGCGCACGCGGGCGTTATCAACATGGTATGCTTTATTGAAAGTTGACAAGTGCAACAGTTAAATACATCGACGTGTTACAACTGTTTAGAGAACATGCACAAAAACATATGCATACTACTATACAGATCATATGCAAAAATCCATACGGAGAAACCCAATTTTCTTTTTAATTATTATTATTCTTTGCTAGCAAGGGCTGATAATTTTTGGAGTGTGTTTTTTTTTTTTTTTCCTCTTTTTTTCCGTAGACCAAACTACAATGAACAAAGATTTACTTCAAGATAATCAGCAGCCAGGGAAATTCAGAAGTTACACAAACAGCATAAATCTGCCAAATTCTGAACAGTTGCGTAGGTGCATTCTTATTTACGTAGCCTTAAAAAAAAAAAAAAAAAGACTTTCCAAACCTCTTCAGATCAGCCAATGAAACAACTAAACTTCAATCTGTACAACCTAAATAGTTACAGTTTTCTATTTTACAAAGTAATTACACTAAATACACAAATATACAGTAGGCAAATAACCTTCATTGTAATTATCCTATGACCCAACTCTACGTCACCTACCTGCTCTCTATATATAATACAGCTTTATGCACCTGTCCACTGCGTCAGAAAACGGTGCAAATTTATTTGCACTTAAGGTTTCAGGTGACAGTCAAGTGTTAAACACTGGATTTACCTTTCTCCCTCTTCCTCTTAGGTCCTATACACCAGTCCTCACTTTGGAACCCCAGACACTATGGGGGATTGAGCCATCGCTTTTTACTCCAGTCTATTTCTTCACATTTCCATGCTTGAAAAGCACTTGGAGCAGTTACATCACTGGATGAGTGGAAGATTTAAAAATGAACAGCAGGAAAAAAAAATACTAATAATTCAGACACGCAGCTCTGTTTTTCAGCCGTTTGCAGAAGCTGCTCGAGTCCCCAGTGTGCTTGTGCTAATTTCCTGGAAGAAGTTTGTTTATTAAATCAACCCAAGAACAAAGACTCCTTCAAGCCGAAGAGGGAAGGGTGGGCAGAGGGAGACAGATGACTGCGTAACACTGGGGATTAAAAAAATAAAAAACAAAACAGAAACAGAAAGGAAGGAAGAAAACCTCTCATGGTGATGTAACGCGGGGAACGGAGTCCTCGGTCCGGGCTGCAGCGTGCATGGAAATGGGTGCCGGGCGGCCGTGGCGCGTTCCCGCTAGTCCGTAACACTGGGGATTAAAAAAATAAAAAACAAAACAGAAACAGAAAGGAAGGAAGAAAACCTCTCATGGTGATGTAACGCGGGGAACGGAGTCCTCGGTCCGGGCTGCAGCGTGCATGGAAATGGGTGCCGGGCGGCCGTGGCGCGTTCCCGCTAGTCCTCCTGGCTCCGGGGAGCCGCGGCCATGGCGAGGCCGGGCACTACGCGGAGGGCCCCGAGCCCTGCGACGC